ACCTTTATATCACCTTTTGGGGTACATAAATCCTACCATAACTGAAAGGTTATCCTTTTTTGAGCCAGCAACCAAGTTAACCCCCTTAATGGCCCTTTCAGGCCACCAAACCCCTCAAGGTCTCTGGGCCTTTTGCGTCTTTTGGAGGGGCTCTGCGGCTAGTCCGCCCTGGCAAAAGCCTAAAGCCCTAGCACTACTTCCCCTAAACCTTAAACCCTAAACCCTGAACCCTAAACCCTAAACCCTAAGCCCTAAACCCTAAACCCTAAACCCTAAGCCCTAAACCCTAAACCCTAACAACCCAAAAACCCTGAAGCCCAAAAGCACCGAAAGCCTAAAGCCTCAGACGGTAGAGCACCAGAATGCCACAAACCATACTAAACCCTAACCCTGAATGCCTAACATCGAAAGAACCCTAGACAAACCTTTTAAGCCCTACCCGCACTTATGAGCTCAAACCCTAAACCCTAAACCCTAAACCCCAAACCCTAAACCCTAAACCCTAAACCCTACAATAACCCAGAGGTCATGGTCTCCACCCCCCGCGGCACACCTCCGAAGTCGTGGACGGCCCCGGCCTTGTCCTGGGGGAGGGAGCTTGCTGTGTAGGGTTTAGGGTTTAGGGTTTAGGGTTTAGGGTTTAGGGTTTAGGGTTTACGGTTTAGGGTTCGGGACCCGAAACCCTGGTCCAGGGTTTAGGGATAGTTGGGGTTTAGTTGTTGTGGTCCTTCAGGGTGTAGAGTCTAGGCGACGAGGTGCCTGGGGGTTTAGGGATTAAGGGTTTATGGCCGGCACCCCGCGTAGGACCAAGGGCCACAGGGCTTGAGGGGCTTGCGGTTTAGGGGCTTGGGGCTTAGAGCTTTGGGTTTCGGGTTTCGGGTTTAGGGTTTAGGGTTTAGGGTTGCGAAAAGGAGGAGAGTGAGGGACGTACACCTCGGACAGTTTGCAGTTGATTCTCCAGCAGTTCCCTTATGAGCCCCCTTTTAATGTTGAGTAGGGGCTTCTTACCTTTTTTGGGGGGTGGGCTAAGGTTGTTCCGCTTTCTGTCTGCTATCTTCCACTTTATGTTGCGCTTGTCATGTGTTGTGTTTGCTACTGTCTTACTTCTCTCTCTCTCTCTCTCTCCCCTTTTTCTTTGTTACTGTCTTCACTCTCTGTTTTCCCATGCCACCGCCCCCACACCGTCATCGCCCTGGACATCATCTCGCAATTTGGCGGAGTTAGGGCCGAGGGTGTTTAGTAAATCCCGTCGTCCGCAACCCCCGTGGGCACGTAGGGCGCCCAGGACAGAGGTAGCTCCCACCGCCGTCGTGGGCACCCCCGGTGCCCACGGGGGTGCCGAGGACAGAACGCCTTGAAATTGAGTGCGTCTTTCGGAGATCCCGTCGTCCGCAGCCCCCGTGCACATGTAGGGCGCCCAGGACAGAGGTAGCTCCCACCGCCGTCGTGGGCACCCCCCGTGCCCACGGGGGGCGCCCAGGACAGGACTCCTGAATGCCAAGCTGCTGCGGGCACCCACATGAGCTACCAAAGAGAGCCTTCGACTGACAGCTAAGAGGCTAAGAGCTTCAGCAAATGCCAGAGCAGATCAAGCAGCTGGAGCTGGAGAGTTGTCTCATCCAAATGCCACGCATGGACATGTACTTCCCATCAGCTTCACGACTTGGCTTTCTGCTGTTTCCACATGGAACCCCAAAAAACAGAAAAAAGGTTGACCTTTTTCACAGGCCCCCACGCAACAGGCCTTAATAATTTAAACCAAAACGGGCATGTTTTATTCCCATAGGACTGTTGCAACTGGATACTATTTTTTAGACATGTCGAAAAGATGGCACCCTTTTTAGACATGTCTAAAAAAATTGCACCCTTTTTTCCCATAGGTTACTCGGTCTAGATACTTAAGCAGCACAGCCATCTTCGACAAGTTGCGGTGAGGGGAGAGGGGTTTGACATGCCCTGTAGTAGCACATGGGGATTAAGCCTTAGTGTACCCTAAACCCTAAACCCTAAACCCTAAACCCTAAACCCTAAACCCTAAACCCTAAACCCCAAACCCTTAGTGTTGTTGAGAGCGCCAGCATCCTCAGTGTCGTTACATGGTCTTTGTATGGGCCCCTAAATGGGGACCCCTTGTATACCCCTATTCTACCTATACAACCCAAGGGCCCATTCTTTCAGAGCCTGGTAAAAAAGGTGAGGGACCATATTCAGGGACCATGTAAGTACCCTTAGAAGCATGACGCGTCAAGCAGGAGCCAAACTGAACCCGAAACCCAAAACCCTAAACCCTAAACCCTAAACCCTAAACCCAAAACCCTAAACCGTGGCTCACCTACATGGGTAAGGGCTGCAAGCTCCTCTGAGAGGTTGTATGATGCTTTCTGAAGTGTCAAGGTTGTGGCATGCAAGTGAACGGTGTTTAATTACATGCACAGTCATGGGTCTCGTTCTAAACGCGAAAGCCTAAACCCTAAAACTAGACCCCAAGCCCTAAGCCCTAAGCCCTAAACCCAAACCCTAAACCCAAACCCAACCCTCAACCCCATCTCAGGTGCGCGCCGCGCACGTGCTGACTGCAGAGCACCTTGCCAACTCTCGAGCTACGCTGCCTTGGGGGAAGAGGTTCTTACACCTGCAGCACTACATGAAGTATTCCCTTTAAAGGGGTTTAGGGTTTGGGGTTTAGGGCTACTAGGACCCAGAATAGGCCCGTATTCCCTTATTTTTGGGGTTGAGGTTCCCTTACAAGCCCCTGTACAGCAAAAAGGGTACCTTTTTTTTTTTGCTGCACTGTGTGTCTGAGGCCACGACCTGTTGACAAGCAACAAAGAGTAGCCGCTTCAGGCTGACCCTTCAAATCAAAAAGGGTACCCTTTTTCTGCCTCGGTTACTCTTGGGTCTAGGGGTTTGTATTACTGTTCTTGGTGAGTGTACATATGGTTCCTTATAAATATTCGTAGATGTGTGTATTGGGTGTTCCTTCTCATGCAGTGAACCTTGCTTCACATCCTGATCAGCCCACAGCCCGAAGCGCAGAAACGCCTGAAATCTGAGCATGGTTCATGATTCATGATCATTTACAGACCCTCAACCGAAACCCCAAGCCCCTAAATCCCAAACCCTGAACCCCAACTACCCCCAAACCCTAAACCTCAGACCCCTCAACCCCAAACCCTGAACCCCGGACCCTGAACCCTAAACCCTTCAAGCGGGGCCTCCCTAAACCCTAAATCCTAAACCCTAAACCCACCAAAGCAGCTGAGGCCCGACAAGTGGGTGGTCGTGAACAACCGGAGCTCCGATGAGCCCATCTTCCCGGAGAACTACGCCGCCAGCTTTAAAAATTGCGGTTTTGGGGGTTCTGGGGTTCAGGGTTTAGGGTTTGGGGCAAGGGTTTAGGTTTGAGGGTTTAGGGTTTAGCCGGATGTTCTGTTCACTGCGACTGCGCAGAGCTACCCAGCAATGCACACATGATCCTAGCAGAGGGCCACGCGTTGATCCAACCCTTGCACTGCAGCATCATGATTGCCAGTTTTGACTGTGAACCGCGCAAGCTTGCTTACCATCTAGTGGCATCTCTGCGCTCGAACTCAACCATTACGTTCGACCTACACCCGCAACCCAACTTTTTGGAAGTCTGAAGAGCCAGCGCTGGGCGAAAAGGCCCGGGAGTTCATCCAGGAGGAGCGCCTGAGCTGTCCACAGCCCCAGGCCGTTTTTTTTTTTTTTTTTTGTTGGGGGGAAGGTGGGGGGGAGGTGGGGGGGGGAGGGTTAGGGTTTAGGGTTTTTTGGGGTTTCGGATTCAGGATCTAGGGTTGTTTAGGGTTGTCTAGAGATGTTCAGGGTTGCCTAGGGTTGTTCAGGGCTGTTTATAGGCTTGTTTAGGCTTGTTTAGGGCTGTTTAGGGTTTTTTAGGGTTGGTTAGGGTTGTTTACGGTTGTTTAGGGTGGTTTAGGGTTGTTTATGGCTTTTATTTTGTTTTTTGGGGGGTCGGGATTCACTAAACCCTAAACCCTTAACCCTAAACCCCAGAGTGTATGGTTGGGGAGTAGGGTTTTGGACTTTAGGACTTTCTTTCGAGGTTGTAATGAAGGGCTTTGGGATGTGGGCTTGGAGTCCAGAGGTTTACGGCTTAGGGCTTCCGAAAGGTCTAAGGGTTAAGGGTTTAGGGTTTAGGGTTTAGCACGCCCGGCAGGTGATGCCTTGCGAAGCGCATCTCTGGTGGCATCAGAGGGGGGGGCGGCGGGGGGCTTGGGAGTTGGTTGAGGGGCCCTAAACCCTAAACCCTAAACCCTAAACCCTAAACCCTAAACCCTAAACCCTAAACCCTAGGCCTCAAATCCTTCCGCGGCCGGACCGACTCTCCGAAGCTTACCCCTTACTACTGTTAATTTGCTTATGAGCCCCAACAAAAATTTAGAAAGACAATAATCCCTATATTTCCCTTGGGAAGAACTGTTCTCTTTCTTTGTTTTCTTTTTTTTTTGGGGGGGGGGGGGGGGGGGGGGTTCTTTAGCAATTTGTAGCTTAACGCCATGCCCCCCCCCCCCCCCCCCCTACGGGTCTAGGGCTGAGGGCTTAGGATTTAGGAACCCCTGTGACCACAATCTCGGTCATACCGGGGCTTTTTTCCTCAGGTTGCGAACCTCAGCAGTGCCATGCAGGGGTTTTCGGTGCAGTGGCTGAGACCGGTATATGGAGGGCATGCAGACGTAGTTTAGTAGTATACTTTAGGGTTTAGGGTTTAGGGTTTAGGGTTTAGGGTGTACCATTCAGAGGCTCAGTCTTTTTTCAATAGCTCAAGGGCATTCAGCAGCGGGCGAGAATGGCCGGGTGGCGCCGAGCGTGCTTCGAGCGACAGCCATGGCCCTGTCCCAAAGCCGCCGGCTGCGTGTGCACGCTCGGAAATACCATCGTCATGCCCACAAGTCCCTGGTGATCCTTGGCTGCAGGTTGTGGGGCGAGATTGCAACATAAGAACAGAAACACATGCAACGCCCATGCGCGAAGCGCAACGAAGGATCAGCCGGTACTCGCAGAGGGCAGACCAGTTCGACAAGGCAGCCGTGCGGAAGCACGCTGCCCATGTGGCTGCATGGATCGCGTATGGCCCCAAGGGCTGGCTTCCAGACATCAACGAGCTACAGCTCCTGAAGAAGTTTATCGACAGGATGCGCGGTGGTCTTTTGCCTTCTCGTTTGATGGAGGTGCTGCCGGAGACGCTGGCTGCGCTGCAGCGTGCCGTGGCAACATGGCAGGCCAGCGAGATTTGGAAACAGGCAGAGCAAGAGCTGCAAAAGAGTCTCCTGAAGTTCCGCTGCTGCCGAAGGCCGGCGGATGACGCAGCCAGCGGCGCTGCTGTCGCGCAAGACGTCGTTGCTGTTTCCGACGTCGAATGCACCCACTCAGGTGGGTTTCAACTTGATGGCGGCGAAGTCATTCAGGTAGACTCAGGCGATGAGGCAGACCAATCATCTGCTCAGGCATCCAGCCAGCACTTGCAGCTTGTCAGCAAGATGAATGAATGGGGCTTCCTGGATTCCGCTCAAAGGCTGGAGCGCCTCCGGCAAGCGGAGGAGGCAGCCAGGTGCCCCCTGAGGAGGCTTAGCAGCCCAGCGGCACCCTTTTCCCTTTTTTTAGGTTCAAGGGTTCCCGTAAAAGTAAACAACCCCTTTTTGTAGCATGGTTACTGGGCTACCACGTCTGAGGAGGCTTAGCCAGGCCCAGCTGGCCGAGGTCGTCAACACAGCGGCAGCAGCTCTTGCGGCTCCTCGCAGGCAAGCGAGGCTGCAAGAACCTTGGGGAGCAAAATCTCCACTAACCATTGGGTAAACTCCTAGAGCAAACGCTCTAACCAATAGTTTAAGCTCTGAGAACAAAACGAGTTTAAGCTCTTAGAACAAACTAAGTAGCCTCCGCCTAAACCCGAAACACTAAACCCTAAACCCTGAACCCTAAACCCTAAACCGGCCACATAAAGGGAGACAAGGTGAGACAAGTGGAGACAAGCGTCCCAGGGACCCGGCCGGAGCATCCGGCGAGGTCGGAATTCTTGGAAAGAAACAGGAACCCCTACAGCAAACTGTTTGGCGTATACATCCTTTTTGTGGTTCGTTTGGCCCCCAAGGAACTTGACCCGGAAGGATCAAGTGAGGCAGCAGCACCTCTGGCTCCGCAGAGCCGGAAAGCTGATCTGCAACTTACTGTTGGTAAGTAGGATTTAGGGTTTGGGGTTGGGGGTTTAGGGTTTAGGGTTAAGGGTTTAGGGTTTAGGGTTCCTATAGACCCTTTAAGGGATTACAGTATATGGTACCTTATTCCCCCATTCCCTACTCACCAACAGTAAGGCAAAAGCGGGTGCGACAGCTGCTGCTTGATGCCCTGCACTTGTGGCGTGTGAAGCAGTATGATTGCACCGCGATAGCGCACGTGCTGGACTTTGTGCAGGGGAAAATCGAGAAGTTCGAAGACAACGTGGGCGACATTGAAGGTGCTGCTGCCGGAGCTATTTGGTCTTCCATCAAGCAGGCCGTCAACGACATGCTCCATTCCGCCGAAGAGAACGCGCAAAGCGCTGAGCGCGCCTTTCCCGCTGCCAAAGCTGTGGGCCCACGGAACAGACTAGAACGCCAAAGTGGCATCCAAGGAATCAGCTGGCTACGGTTCGGCTGGAGTGTCTCATGGCGGGATGGCAAGCTCAAAAGGATATTCTTCTCCGTTTCCAAGTTCGTGAAGCAGGGCCTCAGTGAAGAGGCGGCTGTGACGGCAGCCCTGGAAGAGGCCAAGACCTTCCGCGAAGAGCTCGTGCACCAGGGCAAGCTGCAGCCCTCGAAGCCTAGCAAATCCTTCAGCTCTTCAGTGAGAGGCGTTTGGTTCAGCAACTGGCATCAGAAGTGGCGGGTGCTGTTCCCAGATCCAGCGGGTAAGGGACAGCGCATCTCCGGCGGCTACTTCGGTACGAAGGAGCAAGCCGAGGCAAAAGCTCGGGAGATGGCCCGGCAGTTTGGTGTGCCAGCCGAGACTGAAGTGGTACCGGCGAGGAAGCTTTCGGACCTGCCATACTTCGAGCCTCTCGGGGCGCAGAAGGGGGTGCGATGGAACCTTGGCGAGCAGTGCTGGCATGCCACTTTCTTGTGCCGGACAAGCAAAAAGACCAAGAACATGCGGTTCCGGCCCAAGGACTTGTCGCAGCATGAGGTGGCGAAGATGTGGAAGCAGGCAGTGGCGTGGCGCCAGCAGCAGTTTCAGGAGCAGGAACGGGACAGTCGAAAATGTTATTTGAATTGGCCTTTCTGTCGTCTTTCAACATGCATAGCAAGACTAATAAGCTTCATGGCCTGCAGTAGATATTCCAAGTCCCTAAGCCTGAGCCTTAAACCCTCAACCCTGAACCCGGTGTTGCGATGTGTTTCCAGAACCCTGAGCTCTCGACCTTCAGCGCATGAGGCTCTGAGGCGTCGACGTGCAGACTCCTTCTAGGGATCTGAAAGTCCCTATTGCTTAGCATGCACGGTGCCCTTGTTGAGCTCCTCGTAGACTCGGCGGGTAGGCATTTGGAGTTCGTTGTTTGGGGGTGTGTAGAGCATACTTTGCTCGCCAGGGTTTAGGGGCTACAGGGCTCCGGATGTTTAGCTTTGTCTGTTAGGGTTTAGGGGTTAGGGGTAAGCATGTAGGGAGGGTGTGTACGTGCGTGTGTCTATCAGGGTTGTTCTTCATGGTGGTGAAATTAGATTTGGGCTGGGTGGTATTGGAGAAGGTTCTTGGTCCAAGACTTGGGGGTTTGGCGCTGTTCCAGCCCTCAGCTCTGAAGCTTAAGCCCTCCAAGCCCCTAGGGCATCAGGGGTGTAGGGTTCAGAGTTTTTGGGTTCGGGGGAGTATGAGATTCAAACATCCGAGGACTAGGCCACTAAATTAACACCTTAGATCGCGACATTTTGGGGCTTGCAGTTTAGGAGTTGGGGCCGAAGATGTTGTTCGTTGCGACCCCTGCCTGGAGGAAGCAAACCTTCACTTGCGTAGGGGGATCGTCCTTAAGCCCGAATCCTCATCCCTATACCCTTAAAGACAGGGTTCACCCTACACCCTAAACCCTAAACCCTGAACCGATTCTAAGGTGACCTACACCAAAATGGGCGGTTTTGAGGTCTTGGGGTGGTATTCGGGGCGGTTGGGTTTGGGTTTTTTGATGAGTCTGCAGTGGGAGCTTATGGTTCAGGACTCCACTCGGCTCTGTGGGTTTAGGGGCTTGGGGTTTTGGGCTGAGGGCTTCGACGGAACATTCGGACTTAGCCCTGAACCCCAAACCCTAAACCCTAAACCACAAACCCTAAACCCTAAACCCTAAACTCTAAACCCTAAACCCTAAACCCTAAACCCTAAACCCTAAACCCTAAACCCTAAACCCTAAACCCTAAACCCTAAACCCTACCTCGTGCCAAGGATGCAGTGCCCACTGAACCACTATCCGAGCGAGGGGGACTGCGCGGACTACCTGTGCAAAGAGAGCGATGAGGCCCTGAAGTTGTTTCCCAGCGGGTGTCAAGACTCCCCAATCGGGCTAGGGTTTAGGGTTTAGGGTTTAGGGTTTAGGGTTTAGGGTTTAGGGTTTAGGGTTTAGGGTTTAGGGTTTAGGGTTTAAGGTTAAGGGCTTGCGGCAGGGCTTAAGGTTTCGGAAGCCATTTAAGTGCCTATTCGGCATTGAAGTTCAGAACTGGCTACCTTAGTGCAAGAATTCATCTTTGGAGCGCCCCTGCAAAGCCACTCAGGGTTTAAGGTTTAGGGTTTAGGGTTTAGGGTTTAGGGTTTAGGGTTTAGGATTAGGGTTTAGGGTTTAGGGTTTAGGGTTTAGGGTTTCGGGTTTCGGGTTTCGGGTCTAGAGCCCCCCGAGAAGCTCGCAGGCAATCCTTCAAGAGGATTTGGTTTTCTTCCCTGGACTGGCGCCTGCCAGACTAGGGACCCTAAATGTAATCTGGCCTGTCTTTATGCGATACAAATCTACACAAACACCTAAACACTTAAACACCTAAACTCTAAACCCTAAACCCCAAACCCTAAACCCGAAACCCTAAACCCTAAACCTGCCTTGTTGCCAGAATTCAGGGTTCGAGTCGGGCCCGGTGTGGTGTTAGGGCTGCAACGTCGGAAATGGTGCTTGAGATACGTAATCCAACCCTTGCCTTAGGGTTTGGGGTTTGGGGTTTGGGGTTTGGGGTTTGGGGTTTAGGGTTTAGGGTTTAGGGTTAGGGTTTAGGGTTTCGGGTGTAGGGGCTGGGACTTGCTGATTACCACAAATTGGGCTTGTAGGATTTAGCGCCGGGCTTAGGGCGAAGGGCTCAGGGGTCCTAAACCCTAAACCCTAAACGTATATAGTTTAGGGCTTAGGGTTTCTAAACTCCAACGCAGACGCGTGCCGTTCAGGCGAAGTGCTGCCCCACAGCTGCATTCTCTGAGGGTTTTAGTTGAACTTGCGGGGTCTTACTGGGGCCCTTATGCCCCCCTTTTTTCGGGGGGTTTAGGGTTTAAGGTTTAGAGTTTAGGGTTTAGGGTTTAGGGTTTAGGGCTACTGTAGGACCCAAGATTGGACAAAGGCTTGTGTAACACCTTTTGAAAGAGGCCTGTGAATCCTGAACCTTAAAGCACTACAGGGTTTAGGATTTAGGGTTTAGGGTTTAGGGTTTAGGGCACCCTGAAGCCTCAAGCTTAAAACAGCCCAGGCACCAAGCGAGCAAACTGCGAGGGTTTCCAGTGCGCCCAAGAGACGCACAGCCTCGTCAAGGACCCGCGCGCAGTGTCCGAGCCTGAGTAGGAGGCGGGTTTAGCGAAGTATACGCGCGACATGCGCATGGGATTCATTTGAAACTACCTATGGGAAGTCCGAACTAATGTTGCTACACCACCCTGCCCCTGAAGCTTGAACCCTGGGGGGCAGATGGGGTTTAGCTTGAAACCCCGAAGCCCTATAAACCCTAAACCTTAAACCCTAAACCCTAAATCTTAAACCCTATACACCCCAAACCTAAAACCCTATAAACCCAAAACCTTAAAACCCTATAAATCCTATAATTCCTAAAACTTAGACCCTCAACCCTAAGCCCGGGGTTTCGGGGCTTAGGGTGTGCGCCGAAGCTGCGCTCATCTCAGGCACTGCGCCACCGACAAGTGCGGGGAAGAAGTCCGGGGCCGAGAGCATTTTTCTGGTGGATTAATATGGGAGTGTACGAAAATCAGGGGCCCCAAGTAGAGACCCCCAAATAGTAGGATCCGAGTTTTGGACACCCCCATAAAGGTGAAGGAGTTTAGGGTTGAACCCTAAACCTGAAACCCCTCCTAAACTCTAAGTAAGGGGTTTAGGGTTTAGGGTTTAGGGTTTAGGGTTTAGGGTTTAGGGTTTAGGGTTTAGGTGTTCCTTAGGGGCTGTGGGGCGGCCCCAGGGGTCCTAAACCCTAATGGATTAGGGGGTTCAGGGGGTTTAGGGGTTCTTAGGGGATTTAGGGGGGGGGGGGGGGGGAGTTGGGGAATTTAGGTGATTTAGGGAATTCAGGGGGGCTCAGGGCTTGGGGCTTAGGGAGGATTAGGTGTTTAGGGCCGGGCTTAGAGGAACAGAGTTCGTTCTCTCCTGGTGTTATAGGCTGCTCGGCTTTTTTGGGCATATAGGGTTTATGGGGGTTCATGGGGCTAGGGCTTAGGCTGTTGAGGCAGGATTCCTTTAAAGCCCTAAAGCCGGCATCTGCTGGACGACCGAGAAGAAGACAGGCTTGGAGAGCCACCCACAGTACAGCTATCCTACGAGCTCTTCTTCAACGGTGCACTGGCGGCAGTACAGCTCCTACTATGCCCAGTGGCGCAGTAAACCCTAAACCCTAAACCCTAAACCCAAAAGTGCCCCGGCCAAGGCACCCCCGGGAAGGGCAAGGGCGAGACTGGCGAGGACGCCCCAGCAGTGGGCCAACGCGAGCACAAGTTCCAGAAGCAGTGGGGCATTATGCTAGGTTGCCCAGTAGTACCCTTATTCCCTTTTTTGGGGGGGTTTAGGTTCCCTTATAAACCCCTTTAAGCAAACTAGAAGACGATTGGCCCGAAAGCATCGATTTGCGGTGCGTTGAGTCTATGCACTTGACTCTGTGCGCTCGAACTGTATGCACTTGGACAAGTGTATGCACTTAAGTGTATGCACTTATATGGTTGCATACTCACTTGTATACTGCACTTGTATACTGGACGTGTATGCACTCGAACTGCATGGCACTCAAGTGTGTTGAGTTGAATGCCATGCACTTGTGGTCAACTCCATACACTTCATTGGCATTCAATAGATCTGAAGTAAACGGACTTGAACTGTATGAACTTCACTTGCATGCACCCGACTCGGCTGCGCACGTCCTGTCAACGCGATGCTATGAAAGAAAAGACAAAAACATCTAACGCGAGAGCCGTCAGCCATGAGCATCATCGGCAGTCGCTCTGAAGTCCAAGCTCACACTCCAGAGCGCCTTTCAAAGAAAAAAGGACAGAAGAGCGAGGTTGGCAAGAAGACCTTGGAGCTTCAAAGAGCAGAGAAGCACAGTGAAATCTGACCGAAGTGAGTTTCGCACGCCGGGAATTAAATAACCATGAAATTTGCGATGTTTTCGCACGCCCGGCATTGGAGCACCATGTGATTTTGCGAAATCATTAACCATGGTATTTGCGATGGTTTTGGAACCAGCGAATTCGGGGACCATGGTATTTGCCATGGTTTGGAACCAGCGAATTCGGGGACCATGGTATTTGCGATGCTTTTGGAGCCAGCGAATTCGGGGACCATGGCATTTGCGATGCTTTTGGAAGCAGCGAATTCGGGGACCATGGTATTTGCGATGCTTTTGGAACCAGCGAATTCGGGGACCATGGTATTTGCCATGCGTTTGGAACCAGCGAATTCGGGGACCATGGTATTTGCGATGTTTTGGAACCAGCGAATTCGGGGACCATGGTATTTGCGATGGTTTTGGAAACAGCGAATTCGGGGACCATGGTATTTGCGATGCTTTTGGAAACAGCGAATTCGGGGACCATGGTATTTGCGATGCTTTTGGAAACAGCGAATTCGGGGACCATGGTATTTGCGATGCTTTTGGAACCAGCGAATTCGGGGATCATGGTATTTGCGTTGGTTTTGGAACCAGCCACGGAAGCTCCTTGCGATGGTTTTGGAAACAGCGAACTCGGGGACCATGGTTTTTTGCGATGCTTTTGGAAGCAGCGAATTCGGGGACCATGGTATTTGCCATGCGTTTGGAACCAGCGAATTCGGGGACCATGGCATTTGCGATGGTTTTGGAAACAGCGAATTCGGGGACCATGGTATTTGCGATGCGGTGTTTTCAGACGCCCAGGGCGTCCGCGGCGTACTACGTCTGTACTAGAAAAAGTCGGCTTTCCAGCCACGGAAGCTCTGCGTGTCTGCGGCGTACTACGTTTGTACTACAAAAGTCGACTTTCCAGCCACGGAAGCTCCGGGTGTCCCCGGCGTACTGCACGTCTGTGCTTCCGCGTGTCCGCGTACTACAAAAAGTCGACTTTCCAGCCACGGAAGCTCCGGGTGTCCCCGGCGTACTATACGTCTGTACTACAAAAGTCGATTTTCCAGCCACGGAAGCTCCGCGTGTCCGCGGGCGTACTACGTTTGTACTACAAAAAGTCGACTTTCCAGCCACGGAAGCTCCGCGTGTCCGCGGCGTACTACGTTTGTACTACAAAAGTCGACTTTCCAGCCACGGAAGCTCCGGGTGTCCCCGGCGTACTATACGTCTGTACTACAAAAGTCGACATTCCAGCCACGGAAGCTCCGCGTGTCCGCGGCGTACTACGTTTGTACTACAAAAAGTCGACTTTCCAGCCACGCAAGCTCCGCGTGTCCGCGGCGTACTACGTTTGTACTTTAAAAGTCGATTTTCCAGCCACGGAAGTCCCCGGCGTACTACGTCTGTACTACACAAGTCGACAAAAAAAACGCAAAAACACTATACGGTTTTCGCGCCGCGACCACGCGAAAACCCGCAGAGGGGTTACGTTTGCATGTCAAGAAACGCAAAAACACGATGGTTTTGGCACCGCGCCAACGCCGAAACCCGCAGAGGGGTTACGTTTGTATGTCACAAAATGCAAAAACACGACGGTTTTGGCACTGCGCCAACGCCGAAACCCGCAGAGGGTTGTCTGCGGCCACGAAAAAAAGTACCAAACACGACGGTTTTAGCGCCGCGACCCGGCGATTACCCGCAGAGGGTTGTCCGCGTACACAAAGAAACGTAAAAAAACGACGGTTTTAGCACCGCGACCACGCCGAAACCCGCAGAGGGTTGTCCGCGGACACAAAGAAACGTAAAAAAAACGACGGTTTTGGCACCGCGACCACGCCGAAACCCGCAGAGGGTTGTCCGCGCAAATCAAGAAACGTAAAAAACGACGGTTTTAGCACCGCGACCACGCCGAAACCCGCAGAGGGTTGCAATCCCGATTGGCGATGTGAGGGTTGTTCAAAACCCCCCTTGGCTTCGAGTTATACTGGGGCGACCATCAGATAATGGAAATGAGGGTCCGCGAAAGTCCGCGATGGGCCCGCGAAAGACAAATCACGCTTTCGCGAAGTTTTGTGTTAGTACTGTTTGTACTGTAACTAAGACTGGTGTAAAATTGCCTCCGCGAAAGTCCGCGATGGGCCCGCGAAAGACAAATAGCTTTTCGCGAAGAATGGTCGTTTTGCCATGAAGCAATTTCGAACAACCGTCATGTCAACCCAGCCCGCCGCCTTAGAAAGAGTAATTTTAATTTAGAAATCTAGGACTGGGTACGAAGGTCTACTAGATTCTACGTAAATCTCGTAATTTCTATTAACTTCTACTTCACTCTATGCAATTCACTCTATGCACTTCACTCTATGCACTTCACTCTATGCAATTCACACTATGCAATTCACTCTATGCAATTCACTCTATGCAATTCACTCTATGCACTTCACTCTATGCACTTCACTCTATGCACTTCACTCTAAGCACTTGACTCTATGCACTTGACTCTATGCACTTCACTCTAAGCACTTGACTCTATGCAATTCACTCTATGCACTTGACTCTATGCACTTCACTCTATGCACTTCACTCTATGTTGTTGGGTCAGAGGGCTCCGCACGGAAGAACCCTTCGCGATGCTTTCGGGAAAAAAGTCGATTTTCCAGCCACGGAAGCTCCGCGTGTCCGCGTACTACAAAAAGTCGACTTTCCAGCCACGGAAGCTCCGGGTGTCCCCGGCGTACTATACGTCTGTACTACAAAAGTCGATTTTCCAGCCACGGAAGCTCCGCGTGTCCGCGGGCGTACTACGTTTGTACTACAAAAAGTCGACTTTCCAGCCACGGAAGCTCCGCGTGTCCGCGGCGTACTACGTTTGTACTACAAAAGTCGACTTTCCAGCCACGGAAGCTCCGGGTGTCCCCGGCGTACTATACGTCTGTACTACAAAAATGCCGGCACGGCCGAAACTAGATGTCTTCCAAAAGCTAACCGGATGTCTGGTTTTTGGGCCTGGGGTATTCGAGTCATGATGATTGGGCTAGTTACTTATCCTCTTGTGTGTTCGCTTGCATTCTAAAGCTCCTGCGGGCTAGCCGCGGAGCTTCTATTAACTCCTGCGGGCTAGCCGCGGATTTGGTTGCCCGTGTGTTTTGTGAGCTGTGCTTGTTGAGTTGCCTGTCATGATTTGCAGACTCTGCAGACCTTTGCTGCTCCAATGCTGAAGGCTGCGCGTTGTCATCATGAAGTTTTAGACACAGATCAGTGGCAATCTCAAGCTGGGACCCAGACGTGCCATCTTAGACATGTGCCAGTGTGCCGATGGCTGTCGTTGTGCTATCAGACAGTGACAGCGACATTATGGAGGCCCGGACGATCATGCCAAGCCATTAATGTCTAGAAGACAAAGTGTGTGTGTGTGTGTCAGGTTTCATGTGACAGTGAATCTTCTGATGAAGAATTTGAAGACGTGATGCTTCGACCTTACCTGGACTTTGACTTGACACTGAGTTGTGTGCAGGTTGGGCACACTTAGGCTTCCCAGCGCTGGAAATATCACGTTGAATGCTGGTCAGCGGCAGCACTTGGAGTTCGGCAGTGCTTTTGCAAAGGCTGCAGGCTTGCTTGAGCCAGACTGTGGTACAGCGCTTGGCTTATCACTTTATGACAATGTGTGTCTTTTGTCAGGCCTGGCGAATATGAAGAAGAAATTGCAAGGGCCGATTGGGCTGATGACCGACTGCTTAGAACTCAGATCTTCTTGAAGGCAACTATGTGCAAAATGACAACTCTCATGTGTGTCTTTCCTGCAAGGCAGTGGAGCCGAAGCGCCAGTAATGGCATTGGACATGCTCTTGGCCGGGGCAGGCATGTCCAACATGGTGAGACATTTGCGGCTCGACGGCTCAAAGACAAAATTTGACCATCACAAATCCCCGATGTTGTGCAGTCAGGTCTTCGTGTGACAATGCCCGTGGGCCTCAAAGATGGATCAGAGCAAATTTCAACCCTGAAAGGCCGGCCGTCCCTGATCATATCATTCAGCCAAAAGTCGGGCCTGACGCTGACAGGTTTTACGACAACCTTGCCGACCGAGATGTTAAGACACTGGCTGGCAAGGCAATGTGCTCCATTGGGCAAGAAATAGTTTATGTGCTCGGTTCTGGATTTTACTTCAGAATGAACTTGACAGGTCGGGCTTTATGTAGCTGGCTTTCCTTGCAAAGCTTTTTCTGCTCTTCGAGTTGAGAGCGCGTGGATGGACGACGAGCAAGCGAAGCAGTTCTTCATGGTGAAAGACACGATTAAGACAACACAGCCAAAGGTTTGAAGCTGAGCACACAGTGATGATGGGATGATGGCAGCACGGTGGATGTTGACGTGAATATATATTTTCAACGATGCCAAGGTGTGCGTTTTGGAGAATGTCATGGGCCTGTACAGGGTGCTGAAAGAAGTCTTGCAGGAGTTGCGATCCTGCGGTCCTTACGTCATCGCTGTGGTCGAGATCGACCCGTGCTTGACTCAGACATGTGGTAACGGCAAAATCCAGCTTAGGGTTGAGAAGAGCAGCCAAGGTACAACCACGGTGCAGATGGCTCGCGACGGAGAGTATACATTATCATGGTGCTGAAACGCTTTCTGAAGATTGACGGCACGCTGCAACAGCATGTTCTCGATACGATCGAGACGATGACGTCGTCGAAACGCGAGAGGCCATGGTCAGATCCTCGACTATTGTCTGTCACTGTCACTGTCATGACATGCTGGTTTTGAACTTGGATCATGCCTTGCCAATTCGAGGTCTGATCTCTTGCTCCCGGCAAAGTCGAAGTATGTGATGGAGTGCATACAAAAACGCCGCGAGAAGAATCACAGGGGCAAGAAGAAGTACAACATGAACTCAAGGCTGGTCTGGAATGCACACTGATGTAGACTTCATTTCGGACCTCATGACAGGCCACAGAGCGGGGATCCCAAGTGGCGCTTACGCCATTGGAAGTTCATGAAGGGCATGAAGGCTCTTAGCCCGTAGCCCATCAAATGATTCATGATGATGGTCAAATGTGTTTCTGCGCCGTGCAGATTTCCCCGGCTGATGTCAAACCAGTGTGGTCAAACTGCCCAGCGGTACACTTGCCAAGGATGCAGCAGGCAGGTGTAGCAAATATTTGCCAGTCTGCATTCCAACCACCGCTTCGGAACTGCTTGCCAGGCATTTGCAGTGTTGAGCCATTTGAAGCCCAAGTGGCAAGTGGCTGACGCCAGCCAGAACTTGGGCAGAATGCCAGTGGTTTTGCCCGGTGAGTGCAGGTCTCAGCCCAGTTGTGGCTTTTGGTTGCATGTCAATGTGCTGTCAAGCTTTGTTATGTTGAAGGCCCTTCGTGTGTGTCACACCTGGCGGGGACTACTTCCTATCCAAGCACTCTCGCTTCATGACAGGTCAGTCTTAGTCTTGCAAAGTTCCTCTGAGACCTGTCGTTTGGTCCTGGAGCAGGAGCTGAGAAAATGCTTCAGATGGGATTTCCTCTTCATCGGCTCGATCTCAGTCGAAACAGCGAACGGGAACCTTGTCTGCGAAGTTCTTTGGGCCGACTCCAGGTTTCTCGCCAAAAAACTAAGGAATTGCACAGCCTTGCTGGCAACAGTATGCACTTGCGAGCCATAGCAGTTGCTATTGCAGCTGCTATCACTGTGACTTGGCTAGCAAATGAACATTTCTGACCATGTTGATTGCCTGTTGCAACGCGCAAGGCCGTCGATCCATCGGTCCTGCAAGCCAAAACTGGATGACGAGGACATGCCTTTATCTGACTCTGGCTTGCTGCACCACTTCTTTGCCAGGACATGTTGGCTGAGTGCCCTGCCGAGTGCCCCTGTGCCGTGTGCTTTGTCAAGCATGAGTTGAAAGCTTTGAATTTGTTGTGTTCCTGTTGCAAAGACCATTTAGCCGTCAACCGGGGGGCGGGGAGCGGCCATGGCAGCTGTTGGCGAAGAGAAGCTGTCAGTGCGAGAGCAGATTCTGCACTTTTTCACCGAGGCCATTTGTGTGTGATTGAAAGGTTCTGATTCAGAGCTTCTGTCTGAAGTTCTTCAGCCCTAGCTTGAACTTGAAGGTGAGCAAGCAAGACAATGCGGGCGAATGGCTCAATAGTAACTATGACAAGGAGAAGATGGCCAAGGCTTCCCGAAGGCAACCGTAGCTGTGTGCCGGGCCGATAGTGCTGCTCACCCAGGCGATTGACCGTATTGTCGTGGACCGCCCTGGAGAGACTCCGACACTTCTGACGTTAGTTCCCAACAAGACAGTCAATGATGTGAAGTTGTCATTGAAACAGTTGGACTTCAGCCGCCTTGCCAAGACGGCACGTCACTTGTCATGGGTTCACAGCTGCTTGTGTGACTGTGTGGTTGTGTCAGGCAGCTGTGTGTGTCCGTTTATGTTTTTCGCCCAGTGCATGTTTGTGAGATCTGTATGCAGCATGAAAGCCTTGCCGTCAGATTTTCCGCCGACAACTACGTTATCAGTTCACTTCGAGAGCATTGTCAAGAACAACTTCGATCCCTTCAGGGAACCCTTGCTGGTCAGATTTCCTGCCTGCGACAAGCCTCACAGAGCCCTGGAGAACTTTGAAGTGAAATACGTAGATGGCTTCACGAAAGGCTTGATTGGGCAACTGATCGTGGCCATCGTGGACCAGATCGCTACTTGTCAATCAATTTTTAATCTCAGTCCTGCATGATGGAAATGTTCAACTCTCTGAATTCGTTAGGCTATCCCGGATGATGAGCTGAACTCCCCAGAGCTGCTTCCTCTGCTACAATCGTTGAAGTTCATGAAAGCCAACTACCACCACCACGACGACCCAGCACAATTCTGCTACGACGCATTGAGTTTCTTGCTTGCACCTATCGCAAACAGCGCAAGAGCACGACAGAGCGCTTGTCGACCTGCTGCAAGGAATTGGCAATGAAACGTCTGAGAAACAAGTGCCCTCGGCGCTCGACATGCTGGATACGTTCAAAGAAGCAGTTGAGCACGCCAGGGTCTCAAAACGTGGGTTGCCGCTCCGGGAAGCCCTGGCTGCGTGCATCGCCGCTTACAACAAAGGGGTGGCCAGGAAGTTCAAAGTGGACACGAAAAAGAAGAGTCTTCTTCTCAATCTTATGCGGGCGCCTGAAGAGTTCATCCAGCACGTGGACAAGCACTACGACCGCCACAAGCATTCGCAGTCAGGCTGCCAGCGTTGCTGTGAGCTGTTATGTTTCAGGCAGTGCATGTTGACTTGTTTGCTAGTGCGCGTGAGTGTTTGCTGCTGTTGCTGCTGATTCTCAAGATTCATGAATGACATGATCTCCGAACGGTCTGAGGAACCAATCCGCCCCCATGAAGCAGTCATTGAAAGTTCGCTGTCATGTGACACATGCCTCGCTTGAGCACATGGGCGGTGGATGGCAACAGTTCTAGCCGCAGCCGCAGCCCACCACGTCGGGGCTGTGGAGGCGCTGCAGCCCCCAAGGGATTGTGGCGTGTGAAGGTTGTCAGCTCCTCTTCGTGCCGAGAATCAAGCGAAGAAGAAAGCTCAGAACAAGCCATTAGTGAATCGGCAAGTTCAGCTGACGGTCCGACGACACTAAGCAAAGTTTATTGCAGCAGCACTTGACTTATGTTTCAGCATCGATGCCGTAGAATGCTCAAGCCAAGGACTGCTGCTGCTGCAAACTTGCAATTGCAGCACTTGGCAAGTTTGGCTGCGTCGGCGCACACGGCAGCTGATTCTCAGCATAGCAAGAATGGAAAGAATCGCAAGAGAATCAAGAAGGCGTTGTCCTCCAAAGAGCACAGTGGATGCAATTGTGGGCGCAGGTCATGATGTCGAAAATTCTATGCGAGAAAAATTGTCGATTTCGTGGCGTTTGAACGCAGTGCAATCCTCAGCCTGACAGGTGCTGGAGGAACGTTACCTTCTCCGTGCTGCTTGAGACCTGCCAGCTTTTTTGGTCTTTGTGCAAAACAGCTCAAGATGCTTTGCTTTGGTCTTTGCAAGCCACCTTTATTGCTGATTCTGACGGCGTCGAGAGCGTGGATTCGGATGATGAGAAGTGGAGCCACCGTGTGAATTGGTTCATATCAGGCAGGGCAGCTCTTTTGACGATGGAATTGTTCAGTCTATTTATTATTAATTAATTATACAGTAACTCAAGAATCAAAGAAATTGTCTGTCAGGTGTTCAAGTATGCCGACGCTCGTTTTTGAAGATGCTGGGTCTCAGCTGCGGCCGCTTGCAGCGGACGCGCAAGACCTATCAGGGCTTGGATCGACGAACTTTGCCTGGGCCGGGCCCTTCAGATTCATTTAAAAGCATTTTAGCATCATAATGAATTCTTAAAACTAATTATTTAAATTTTTAATTTTTTGTTTTAACCCAAGACACCATTGAGAGTGAGGCAACGGTCGGGCTCATCCTGCCCACGCTGCAGAGTCTTGCCACGTCTTTCTGCGTCAGCTCTACTACTCCATCTCCGAGACAATGCCAACTGGCATTTTCAACAAAGACCAAGGCCAGGACCTGTCGCGGGAGGATGCAAGGGATAGCTTGCTGCGTTCTTTGCTGGACTCCGTGCTCGAGGGTCCTACCGCCCATACAAGAATCTCGCCGAAGCACTTGGCAAAACGTGAACTACCGCCAGGCAATTGGGCCAACTTGTACCTTCTATACCTGGCTGCATGCAAGGCGCGCAAGACAGCTCCAGCTTCGAAGAGCACGTTCTACACAGCAGTCAAGGCCTGGAAATGTTGCCTGAGATTTCGAAAGAAATCTACCCACGGCACGTGCTACACTTGCGATGTATTGCGTGCGAGAATGAAGCATGCAAAGTCGTTCTGGTCCCACGCCACAGCGACCGATGCCCTTCTTGGCCATTTGATGACTACATGGCGATGTAGACAACAATACTGGGCTGCCCGCGCAGCCAGCCGGACCCGACAGGACTTAATTACGTTGATCACTGATGGGTTTGACAAAAGCAAGCCAACACTGCCGCGTTGGCCACGTGGTCGAATGCCAAAAGGGGCCACATTTGAGAAATACAATCGCCCCCACCTCAACATCAGTGCAGTCTACGCCCATGGATACTGCTGCAATGTGTTTATGTCCGATGAGTACATGACAGTTGGAGGCAATTACTCGTGGGAGACACTCCTCGTGACTCTCAATGACTGCTTCAAGATCCTTCGCGCCGAAAACAAACCTATGCCACCAGCGTGTCTTGGCATCAATTAATTTAAATTTAATTACTGACTAAAGATTTATTTTAAAATTAATAAATTATTAATTATTAATCATCATCATCATCATCATCATCATCATCATCATCAATTTGGTTGTCAGTGGCCGTTTATCCCAGGTGCTGGGTACAATCAGACAATACGGTCAAAGAGATCAAAAACAGCTTGAGCGGAAGGATGGCGTGCGCACTGGTATCTGCCGGTGTTTTTTCGGAAGTTGGTCACCACCACTTACCGAAAGGACACACTCATGAGGACATTGGCAGCTTGGCTGACTGGTTAATAGTTGATTGAATGTCACTCGTCACATCGTGAACTCGTTTCTGTGGTGATGCCTGGCTACCAGATGCAATTTTTGGAACGCTGACATCAATTTTGATGTCAGCAGACGATTCGGTACAAACGCCGAGTGATTTGAAGAGGCCATCGAATCAACTTGTTCTTGTGACTGTGCCAGTCAGTCTAACTTGGCCTTTCATCTGTAGGTTGTTCGAGGAAAAGATGACCCCGATGTTCGAACAACGTGGCGAGAAATTCAATGTGTATATTGTGGACACAGCTGCCTGCTCTGATTTCATGACGTGTCGTGCAATTTCCTATGAAACTTCAAAGTCCTCAGGTTCGACAATGGGACAAGATTCTGCCTGAGCCGGTCACACTGGGTGGTGCTTATAGGCCACGAGACGACACGGACGGCGAGCAAATTCCCCACAGCTTTCTGTTCAAGAAACGTGAAGGCCAGATTTTGCAGATTGGTGCAAGACCATAATCCCCAAAAGAGACTTGATTGCACTCGCCAGGCATGACATCAGAGCAGAAGAACATGGCAGAGACCAGAAGATTTCGTGGCGAAGCCCCTTCAGACGACGACATTTTTGCATTTCTGAAATTAAACTTGTGCGACGATGACTTGTCGCAACCTCCTCTCCTTGTATGGCCGGCCAGTTCTGCTTCAGCCAGTCGTGAGGCTTTGGCCACAGCTCGTGGGCAGCGAGGCTTCCGGAATGCCATCGACCATGAACGTTCACAAGGGCTGTGCAGGCTTGCTGAGGCCCTGAGAAGTTATCCTCAATACGAACGTGGCGCTGCTTATCTTGAACAAGTGGCCGGTGTCCGAAACCGACCCTTGGTTGGCTTACACGCCATTGACTTCCTTGCTGGTGCGCGGCACCAGCGTCGGCAACTGGTGCCACCTGGGGCAATGGCAGCCCAACCAGCGCGCCCTGAGGCGTACAGGTTACACGCAGTGTTTCGCCGCGGGAGGCGTTGAGAGTGTCGTTGCGATTGTCGGACCTCAAGCTGAGCTTGTGCCAGAAACAAAATGACTTGTATACAACTTGTGTGAGTGAGTGCTGCTGTATTGTGTGCAACTTGTGTGAGTGAGTGCTGCTGTGCGCGGATGTTCTTGGCAGGGCTCGGCTATGAAGTTCTTGAGGGGGACCACTATGTGCCTGGGCAAGAAAGGCACGAACGGCCGCGATTCAAAAACAAGGACCAGTGGAAGGAGATCCTTCTTGTCACTGCGGCGGCATCTGTGATGTATGCGGCAAGGGTGGTGGGCGATTTCGACAGAGCTGTGGGTAAGAATGCCACTGTAAAGGAGAAGGCCGATGATCAGTTGACATCGAGTCTTGAGTGTTGTTTGCAGCATGTTTCTCATCAAGTGGTTGTATCCCTGACAGAAAGCCTCGCAGCGGAGCGTTGAGCAGCACGAGGAACTAATGGACCTCGTTCAGCTCTGGGTGTGGATGCGACCCAAAGTTTCTTGCACCTTGGACGGATCCACCATGGACAACTTAGACAAGATGTGGTGGCAGGGGCTGCTCGGCATAATGTTGCACGGTGGTCTGTTTTTCAACTCAGTCAAGTTCGCCTCTAGCCCACGGAAAAAATGAAAAAAAAATGCACCCGCCTGAGACGCAGCCCTCACCCATTTGCCTGCTCGATGGAATTCCAGGTTTTGTTCGCGAAAATACAGCCGTCACATGTTTCAGCTGTGCGAAAAAGACCGTCCCAATTTTCAGCCGGCCGTGCGAAAAAAGCCCGTCACAATTTTCAGCCCTACGAAAAAAAAACCCGTCACAATTGTCAGCCCTACGAAAAAAAACCCGTCACAATTTTCAGCCCTACGAAAAAAAAACCCGTCACAATTTTCAGCCCTACGAAAAAAAAACCGATCACACTTGGGGCAGGGGCACGCCAGGCCGAAATGTGACTGGTTTTCCGGAAAACCAGTCGCAATTTCCAATGCAAAATGCAAAGTGATCATAATTTCAAAACGGGGACACCGGTCGAAATGTGATCGGTTTCAATTACGGACACAGAATCGTGATCGGTTTTCCGGAAAACCAGTCGGATTTTCAGGGGACCCCCCCCCAGCCCAAACGTGATCCCTTTTTATAACATGGAACATAAAAACCGATCACACCATTTTCGACTACAAAAAAAAACCCGTCACGATTTCCAAGACGGATTTGCAAAAAAAAAAAACCGTCACATTTCCCAAGACGGATTTGCAAAAAAAAACCCGTCACATTTCCCAAGACGGATTTGCAAAGAAAGCCGTCACATTTCCCAAGACGGATTTGCAAAAAAAAATCACGATTCAAGACGAATCTGCAAAAAAAGACATCCCATTCCCCAAGGTGGATTTGCAAAACCGTCACTTGCCTGATTCCCCGCATTTAGTCGGGTCCCAGTATAAGGGGACCGGGAATGGGGGACTGCGGGGAAGTGAGGTAATGCTGGGGTCCCAGTAAGGGACTGCAGGGGGGAGGGGGACTGGGGAGGGGACTGCCGGGGGGGGGGGGGGGGGGATTATGGGGGAGTCTGGTTTTTTTGAGGGAACTCCAAAACCTGACTCCCCGCATTGGCTCGGGTCCCAGTAAAGGGACGGGGGGGGGGGGGGAGTCAGGTTTTTGAGGTTTCAGGCCCTAAAAATTCTAAAAACTCCAAAAACCTGAATTTAAAATTAAAAATTATTTACGATAATCAATGATTTGTTTGACGATTATTATTTTTTGTCGTAGCTTGACCTGACTTTGACATGCTTTTTGCTTCTTAGAGGCAAGTGCCGTGGTTAAAGACCTTGAAACCATAGAATGACATTCACGCTCCAAGCTGCTTTTGTCAGGAGGCTTGACGGTTGGACTCTGTTGGTTTGCTGAGTCTGAGGTTTAAGATGCAAATTCGATGTTCGTGGCGTGAGAGAGACAGACAACACGTTATCAAATTGCACGAAATCAAATTCATGCTTCGGGTGACAGTGAGAGAACAACCAGCCAGGCTGCTGGACAAGGACTTGCGGACAGTTTGCCTTGCAGCCCCTGACACTGTGGATTGGAACCGCGTGAGTTTTGTTATGGAGGTGGGCGGGGGGGAGACGAAATTCGCCGCCCGGCTCTAAGCCATGTTTTTGTTGGAAGGCGTGTGGGCGCACCCAATCAGATTTCCTGGTTGCCGCGCAGAACAAGCGCAAGGACGCTCACGAGGCTGCGGTGAAATCAGCCTGGCAAGCCTTCAAGGCAGACCTGACTGCGGATTGCCTTCTTTTCGATGCTATGCTGCTTCGACACACGCGGCAATCGGACGCGAAAAGAGAAGCACTCGTCGACAAGTTGCACACCATGTCCCTTGCTTAGTGTGTTCCTGCAGCTGGTTGTTCATGAACACATTTCGTCGAATCTTGCTAGAAGCAACTGTTGCAGGCACTCAGAGTCTTGGAAGGTTCTCGACAAGCATATGCAAGATTTTTTCAAGATATGGGAGGTCAAGACGCAGGAGCTTGGCGACCAGACGGTCCTTCCGGACCTGATGCCATGGTTGGACGCTGCGATGGACAAGGTGACATACACCCGAATGCCAACCGAGGAAGGCTTCATAATTTACTTCAACCTGACGACGTGCGGGGTACTCTCCGCTGCGAAGCAGAACTTCCTCTACCAGTTTGTGACAACGTTCCTTGCAGTGCAGCGTGTCAATGGGATTGCTATCGTCGTACTTCCTAACAAAGCTGGCAGTCCGAAATCGTCGGGGCCTCACTGCTTTGAATTGACTGAATGGACGCCAGTTCCAGTCCTTTGCATTTTTTCTGACGAGAGTGACGAGAGGTTTCAAATTGAGTCTCAGACTGAAAGATGCACTGAGGAAGGATGAAGACGAGGATGATGTCAAAGATGATGATTTCAAAGATGAAGACGATGACACCAAGGCCGAGGATGAAGAGAATGGTGATGGTGAAGGGGCAGGGGAAGAAGCAGGATCGGACGATGTCATGCTGCTGCAAGACCTCAGACACAACATCGAAGCAACTTTCCGCCAGCCTGTTCGCAAGCTGAAAGTTAAGAACTTGGTCATTGCCTTCGACCCTGAGACTGTATTTGGGAAGCGCGAGCAGTTCCTACCAGCGCTCATGATCACTGCTGACGCTTGCTCGCAACGACGACAAGTTTGAAGCTTTCTTTCGAGAATTCGCACGCGTGAAGAGTTTGTTCTGTTTCGCATGTTTCGCTGCAGGCCGCGGACAAGAACAATTTTCACTCGAGCACCCTGTGGAAGCGGGCAATGTTGAGCAATGTGGCAATGCTACGCCGAGCCGATATGTTTCGTGTTCCACAAGGCCCAAAGAGGATGCGTATCAGCACGCACCTGACAGATGCCCAAGAACTGAAGCAAGCAACCTGTTTGCAAATAATTGTCATCAGCAGCATCAGAGTGTGCAGTTTGTCGTGCCTAGCTCTCTTGTGTGCTTGAGTGGTGCAAGTGTGCACACGCATGTCACGATGGCCATCCTGCGGGCTAGCCGCGGATGCTTGACAATGAATTGCATTGACATGTTTGCCGCTGCTTTGTTTTGTGGCCCGTGAGGTGTTGCAACTTTTTGGTGCTTGTGTGCTGTTATGCCATGGCTGGCTTTCCTCCAAGCGCCCCATACATGGCGGGGCTGGGTGCCATGCCGACAGCGGCGATGACACCGCAGCAGCTCATTGCTGCAGCCCAGCAGCTGGCGCAACAGCAGCAGCATTTGGCTGCGCAGATACAACAGTTTCAACGTGCCCCTCCGAGGCCCAACGCAGCAACTATGCCAGGGCCAGCGTGTGGTGGATGCGGAGTGGTGGACGGCATGTTTGGCCCCGGGCTTGTCGGCTTGCACATGCAGCCAGGGCCGCCAATGCCAACGGCTCCAGGACCGCCGCCGTCGGCAGCACCTGCCGCAGGACCGGCGCCAGGACTGGCAGCAGGGCCAGTAGCCGGGCCAGCAGCCGGGCCATCAGCAGGGCCAGCAGCAGGGCCAGCAGGAGGGCCAGCAGGAGGGCCAGCAGGAGGCCCAGCAGGAGGGCCAGCAGGAGGCCCAGCTCGCGTTCCAGATGAGGTGCTCCGCGCTGAAGACCCAAGGATGGAAGTTGGAAGCTTGAAAAGACTATGTACCGTCCCGTTCAGCAACAACACCAGCCTCGAGATCTATGGCAGGTTCGTCCGCCCGAAGAAGGACATAATTAATTGGACTTAGAGACGTGCAATCAAGTTTTGTATTGAAATTGTTTGCTAATTGTCTTGTCGTCTAATTGACTGTGTTTTGCAGGAGCCTGGCCATGACCGTGACCGTGGCACTGGCAGCGCTGGAAGCGGACATGGGCCAGGCGGAGGAC